GCCGACCCATAGCCGAGAAAAACAAGGAGGGAAGGGAAGAGGCCCCAGCAGCACCCCGCTGGAGAGACTTGGTTACTGTGCTCACATAGCAGACTCAGCTAGCTTGCTTGAAGATGTGGGTCCCTGTGGTTGGGACTCAGAAAAGTCCTCCAGGCAGGAAGTTAGGCACTGTGGCTGCAGTGGCTCAACATTAAAGGCCTTCTCTGAGTTTTCCCCACAGTGGGCCCCAAAGACACGAGAAAGTCCATGGTTCCAAAAGGGTTTATTTTCATGGCAGATGTAGATGGATCTTGCAGTACCCCCATGAAACTCAGGGCAGACCTGAGTTAAATAGGGAGGGAGAAGGAGGAGGGTGTGGGAAAGAATGCTTAATTGGTTCCACCCTCTGGCCTTCAGGTATGTAAATCATACCTCATTAGTATGTAAATCTCTCTAGGCCCCGAGGCCTGTAGTCACGCCCTCTACCTGTGCTCTTTGGGAGGGGCTGCATTGTCCTACGTGACTGAACAGTTCAAGTCAATGGAGGTCCATGCCATGTGTTAGGAGCCTGGATTCTGGGAGCGCAGCGGAATAAATGCCCATCCCTTGCAGGGTCTCCAGGCTCCTTCCAGCCAGCACTTCTACCAAAAACCAAGACCCCTATCATAGCCCTACACTCATTAGGCTTGAACTGCTACCAGAAACTAATTTTATCTTAATGATTTCCCACTATCATATGGGGCTGTGTGTGATATTACAGTCATGCGAAGTTTCAAGAACTGAATACAGGAATCTAAAGACCCAAAGTGTTCCCAGAAATAAAAATAAAGGGAGATACGTAAAGTACGTGAATAATGAATGCATGCTCCACAGTAAGTTGCTGTGGATCTCCTTCAGTTTCTTACTTTCTCACTAGTCGCTTCTCTTCCTCTTAGCCTTGACCTCCATTTACTGAGTCTGATCGTCCTTTAATGGAACAGTGACATCACCGACTGTTCCCAACCTTTCATTTTTCCCATGCAAGATTCTAAGGCTGGCTTCCATCCAAGTTGCCCCTTCCCATCCTTCTCTCCAGTCTTTCAGCATACCACTCTGTCATGGCAGGCCAACCAAACCCTGTCTTTTCACCATATTTCAAAACACAAGTAAGGGCATAAAAGTCATTAATGGCTCTCTATGGAATTAAAAAAAATCTAACATTCCTCGGCTCCTAACATTTATGCCCAAAGAAAAGTGAGAATTCTTCCCAAGCATCCAGAGCCAACCAGCAGAAACTGGTTTTCAAAAGGAAGCCACTTATACCTCTGGTGGCTTCCCACCAAGCTCTTTGGTTTGCATTTCACAGTCCCTGCGTGTTAGCTCTTACTACTGTAAACTGTGACCTATGTGGAAGGCTGCAGTGAATCTGTCCTGAGCAAGCATGAAAGGCTGGGAAATGGGATTCAGTACCTTTTGCTGAGTGCACCCTTGTGGATGTTCTGACTCTACCAGATCTCTACACCTGGCACTGCTGTTGAGTTTGTAAAGTTCCAACCCACGGAGAACTGACAGGAAATGATTCTAGTTTACAGATAATTAATTTTGTCTAGTTTCAATTGATTTCATTTTTTTTTTTTACTATGGAATAACCCAATTCATTTCAGCAAGCCTCCTCCTTCCTCTCTTCTTCCCTGACTTTCCCATTCTCTTCTCCTCCCTCCCTCTATCCTTCCCTCTCCCTTCTACTCTCTCTGCAGTTCTTTGGAATCAATTATAATAACCTGTTCATGCCATCATTAAGCAGTTAAATAAGCACATTTGACAGAAGCTCATTTTATGATTACACAAGAATCATAATATACACTGCATTAAAAGTATTGGCGTGACAAATCCTATGTTCATTTCTATTACACCCTCAATCTGGAATGCCTTCTTTGGCTCTTTCTGCATGACACTACCAACTCTTCCTACTTCACAGATAAATCTGTCCTCCTCATCATGTCTTCATACTAAAACCCTGTAATTGTTGTGTTGTGCCCAGACACAATGTTGCTCTAATTTATCCTACCAATCTCTCTTTGGTAACAGCTGCTGCACCGTGCATCTCTCTCCCACTCAGGTGCCTGGAGCAGTACATTTTACTGCAGAGCAGTAGCTCACTTATATGCAAGTGACATTCCGCCTCAATCTGACTCCACATTCAGTAAGGGTCCCAATCACAGCTTCTTTTCCTTTTCTCCTCCTTCACAGCCCCCTCAGAGTACCCAAGAAACACACAAACCCCATATTACTGCTGCCTATGAGCTGGAGCTCTTAGTCCAACATTTTCTTCCAGCAATCACTTATTTTTATTTGGGAGATCAACTTCCTGTATTTTGGCTGAAGGGGTTTCCTTTTGAGGAAACTCAGTGTAAACAGAGAAAAAGGTTAGTACTCATTAAAACACCAAATAGTGTAGTACTATCTGGAAAGATCCAGAAATTAATTAATGTACTTCTGGGAAATTTTCCCCTCATGTACTGATATTTATACTTTCATTGCTATGTACAGTCTTGGATAAGATTAGGGTATGTGTTTCATCCAATGTATATTTACTGAATGTCTACCATATATATGTGGAGTTTTTGATAGATCTTATGGAATCATTTACAGATGATGTATAATTTGAAATCCAAGGAGCTTGTCTGATAGTGAGGCAGAAATGTGAGGAAGGGTGGAGCAAAAACACAGAGATCACTGATGACAGCTGTCAAATGACATCATAGGAAAAGAAACACCGGGCTTTGGAGTATTAGAACTAGCTGACCTCTTAAAAATAATCAATCATCGGTACCCCTAATGTAATAACGAAATGCAAAGTGACATCTGCTCCCCAACAGCACACACCCCGCATGTTATTCACTCTGTGACCTTCACAGCCATGGCCAAGTGTGGAACACCAAGATGTGCCTATGGTCTAGAGGGTGAATTATGAGGAAATAATAAATGATTCAGATTGCTTTCAGCACATTGGATTTTATGGACTATAAAATACTTTATCAGTTGGAGAGCCTACCAACTGAATTAAATTCTGCTTCTTATAATGCCATATGAAGTCAAAGGACTTCATAATATTTGAACATTAATATTATTACCAAGCATTTTAATTTTTACGGTTTTACTTATGATAATTATTTTTTGAGAAACCTGGTTCTGTACCAACCCCAGTCCATTTAATCATTTTTATTTTTCTCATGATGACTTTTAATTTTTACCTTTGGTTCCAGGGGACCCTTTGTAAAAGACCTTTAAGATTCTACTGCATGATACTTCATTAGTAAAGATGTTAGGCACATAAAAATACCAATAAATAGAAGGAAATGACAAAGACTTTGCATTGATGTAACTTTTAGTTTTGGATATCACATTGATAAGGTTCAGATATTTAAATAAAAATAACACATGACCACAATGATAATGACGAACAAACACGGGGCTTCAATTCTTTCCCAAGTTTTATTCTTTCTCCAGTATCATCATTTGCTATAATAATTTTAACATTAGCCATTTTTACAGATGCAGTCATGATATACTTTTCTATATATGTATATATAGTGCTTTGTGCTCTCAGTGTACATCTGCAAATACACACATTGTGATTTTTTCATATTTTTAAATGAATATTTAGCTCATAAGCTTGTTGGCAAGACACCCCTGAAACACAAGAAAACCGGACGCTGTACTCCTCCAATCTGTCACACTGACAGGGGAAGGTGAGTGAACAGTTTGAGTGGTCCGGTTAAATCAAGGGAAGAATTACGTAGAGTTTGGCTAGTGTCGCTTTATAAAAACAGGCCCATTTATTTCTACTTCTTAAAGTACAGAGACTTAAGTACTAGCTTTATTGCTTAAAGGAGTTTTATTCCTTCCTGTATGTTAAAAATTTACCAAAAGTCCCAGTGTTCCCAAGATACTCTTAGTATTTTATGTAGTTTTTAAATGACTATTTAATGCAAAAATACGCATATCCAGCATTTATATCAACGTTTTATACATCGCTATATTTCGCCCCCCAACAAGAACATGACAATCTTTACTTCTTCAAATACGCCTTTTTAGTACTGCATAGTATTTTGCCATAAAGCAGTACTATGCTGTATTCTACTGGTTTTCTAACTTTCCTTTATTTTGTGTGGTGCTGGAGGCTGAACCCACGGTCTTACATATGCTAGGCAGGCTCTTTACCCCTGAGCCTCACACAAGTCCTGTTTTTCTGGTTCACAGGGCTGCTGTGAAGTCAAGTGCCTGCTGTGTGTGTAGTGTCTTGTGTATCTGTTTCTTGGGTTGGTAAACCATCACTAAAGTACACAGGACTTTGTTTCTTGAATTCATTTTCACTTGAAATTATAACATAAGCCTCTCCTACCATGACCGCAGCCTGTTCGGTGAAAAGAATGTACTTCACCTACGTCCTTCAACTGCAGGCATGTGGTTTCATTCTTATATTTTAAAATTCATCATGTTTCTAAGAAATAAATTCAATCATGTTCTGTTTATAGTTAGATAGTTAAAATTATTCCCCAATACTAGATTTCTTCAAGTAAAGTTGTCGTCAGAAAAAGTCTGATCCAGTTTCATGGGGTTTTGGTTTTTTGGTTTTTTGGGGGGAAAGAGGGGAGGATAATGATAAAAACTGAAAACAGTATGTTAAAAACCTGGACTTCAAAGTGTTTGGCATCCAACCACTGCACTGAGGGTGGGATGCAGAAACAATACAAGGCATGGACCATAGTTATACTAATCCCTTTCCCACAGAGAGTACGGCTTGGCATGTCTATCCCGAGACAGCTGCAGCTCCTTCCGTACCGGCAAAATTTCATTTTGAAGTTTTCGTCCAAAAGGTTTACATCCACCTACCTTTTAGACACAGTTTAGCGCCTTCCCCACTTTGGATCTTAGTAGTAATTTTAGAAATGTTCTCTGGAATTGCTTCTGTTGGTGAGCTCTGAAATCCATATCAGAGAGCAGTAATTCTAATACAAGAAGGCAAAGGCCCCACTTACCATTTGTAATGCATTTACACGGTCCTGCAAATGAAGCACAATACAGAATCATTAAAGCAATGCTGTATGTTTTCAGGCTTTTCTGCCTACCTATTATTAGCAAAACATTATGATGAAAACAGATGACTTCTTACTCAGATGATCTCAGCAACAGAAAAACGGGCAGGAAGGACCCAGTTACCTCTTCTTATTGCACCTACTAGTGGATAGGACCTCTGGGCTTCATGTAATAGTAAATGTGATGAATTCAGGTCCAGTACTGAGAGAGAGGAAGAGCTCTCATCATCACTACTTTGTTCACATTTTCCACTTAAGAATATGTAAGAGTTAGATAAATGTACTGGCATGACTCACAGCTGGCTGGTAGAGTGGCACACAAATGACACTCACACACACTAGCCCCTCAGGCAGACAGCGAAGCCCGTGCTTAGGGAAACTTAAACATAACATCAACAGGTCAAAGTCATCCACAAATACTTATTGAGAACGATTTCCATGGCGCTAACCCTAACCCCTAGAGGGCCCTGGTATATAGTCACTCTATAGAGTACCTATAGAATGTTAATTTATAGAAGTACTTGTTTTAAAGAAATCACAGACAGTAGCATTGCTCAACAAGCCAAATTATTGAGGAAAAAAAATTTGAAGTCAACACTTATAATAGCAACTCTCTAGAGGTGAAAGTGCAAGCTGGACATATTCACCAAGTTTAAAAACTGGATTTGAGAGTCTGAAGGTCAAGATGAAGGCCAGATTTTCCAGGGCCAAGGCCATGTGTCTTTCTTTGAATATTTTGAGCAACTGGTGGAATTGGAATCTATAATCTTTGGAAATCTTTGGAATCTATAATCTTTTCCTTTAATTAGATTAATGATTCATTCACCTCACACCCTTCCCTCTCTATGGTATCAGAGAACTAGAGGCCTCCGCAGAAACTGAGGGCTCTCCCCTGAGGAGTTCTGTAAGTGAACCCCCAGACCTTACATTGGGAAACTGACCTGAATGACCAGCGAACATATGACCATGAGGGCACAAATTAGGATATTAGGGTCATATATTATGGAATGTCTACCCAAAGCTGGCTACTGAGAGGCACAATTTGTTCAATTCCATTTTGTTGGCATATTTAGAAGGACCTCATCTTGCCACCACCATGAGTTTCATTAAATCAGTATTCCCTGGTGACTAATTAGTATCATATTTGAGCACATATGCATATGGCACCTGGAATGGTCTCTACCCTCTTGCTACCAGGCTTCCTATTCACAACAAACCTAGAGCAACACCAGTTAGCAGTGCTTCACCATCTTGTGCAGTCTAAGCAGACAAGGCTCCCCTGGCCATTATATATAAACCACTAGGTGGGGATGCCAAATGTTTATAATCCTTATGTGGACTTGAAGTCTGCCCCATACCATGCTCTGTGGGCTGTTTTTGTTTAATGTTACTGTATTTTAAGAAAATACATTTCCAATGGCTTGAAATAAGCAAATTCATATAATGTCAAAACAGAAGAACTTAATTATATGTCCATCTGCTTTCATTCTTATCACACTTACGGCAAAGATGATCTGATCTATGCTATATGTCTGAATTCCATCTAAATATTTGTATGATTTGTAAGCGTGTGTCTAGTCATAGGACTATGGACCCAAACAGTCAAAAACACCATCTGTTAAAAACATTAAGGCGTACCAGTACTACATCCACATGTAGCTTACTATTGTCTACTTGTCTGCAGCCTACTTTCTTCACAAGAGGGAAAGGACTCAAGGAGTAACGAAAAATGAATGCAAAAAAAAAAAAAAAGTCAGGGGGAGCCTGCATTTGCCACAAGACTAACCACCTGAGTTTGACCTCTGAGACCGACATGGTAGGAGACAATCAACTCACAGATGTTACCTGTGGACCTCTACAGGCATGACCCCATGCACACACAGATAAAACAGATGTGGATTGTTTTAAAATAAGGAAATAGAAAGTTCTTAGTAACCTACATTGTATTCATTCCAGTTGTCAACCAACAAAGCTAATATGAGTCTAGTCATTCTTCCCATTAGTGAGCATGGTCTAAACTACATAGTTTCAAAGTCTCAATTGTAGAACATAAAGCAAAAGGACTCCTTATCTTTTTAAATTTACATGATTTAAAAAATTATGAAAGGAGAATAATATACCTAGCCAAAAATGCAAGCACTGCTCTACTAAATGTTTCAGTGGTAAGTAAGGTTAAGTTTTTTGGAGGTTTCCCCCTTTTTCTTTTTTTCTTTGAATTGCCAGATTCCATAGCTTTTTATCTCCAAGCACCACCTGCACTCTCAACTCTTTAAAACCCGTATTTCTAATCTAAACCTTGAAAAGCATTATGACATTAAAGAAGTAGTGAAAGACTAGGGAAGACAGCCTCCACAGTAATGAAGATACTGTTATGATAACAAAACTATTTCAGGTGCTATATTAGTGACTTTACCATTATAGATCTGGGTATCTGATGAAAAGATAACTGCCCAGGAAAATGCACATTGTACACAATATACTCTTACATAATTTTGCATGGGCTTTTAAGACAATGAGAGACCCTGTAAAGCTATCTAACGTCTGCCAATTCATTTACTGTATATAAAAACATCTAAAAATAAGACATAAGAATAGTATACAAATAAGTCATTGAATTGAACAAATCTACTTCTGCTTTATGAAATATTTCTGGATAATCAATAACCAATGAGGATAAAAGAAACAAGACTAATGCAGAGGCAAAAATATTAATTTCTAAGGGGAATAGAAGATTAAACAATAACAATATCAAAAAAGAAATCAAAGGAGAAAGTTCGTTCAAATAATTTGAAGAAACAACATTTAGGGAGGATAAAGTTGACAGTGATATCACTGGTGTGGTGTGTGTGTGTGTGTGTGTGTGTGTGTGTGTGGTGTGTGTGGTGTGTGTGTGTGTGTGTGTGTATGAGTAGATAAATCATTTTCTACCATTCTTTTAATCTAAGCAAAGTTAAGGAAACACCTACAGTGGCAACAAAGAATAATTTTAATATTTACAGGACTGCCACACATGGGCTGCACAGTCACTGGCTTAAAAGTGTAGGGCTAACAGCTATTCTTTCACGTGACTATCATACACTATCTAGTGAGAATAATGTAGCTAGACATTGTATTCTAATTTATTCTGAGCCTGACAGGTCATGTAGACAGAGCTATATTTGGAAGGAAGCTTACAGCATGCATACTGTTAAAATATATTTTAACTTTTTAGAATGAGGTGAGCATTCTGCTGTGAACCATAAATATTCATTTACTTATGGTCAAAATGGAGTGTGCATTAGAATTCAGGGATGAACTGAGGCAAATTCATTACTATCACTGCAGATGGGAAGGGACAGGCAGCCAGGTTGGAAATGAGCATGAAATGGATCACTGGTATCGGAATGGTGGATCACTAACAGTTCATTTGAATCAGCTGAACCAATCAATGAGACACATTGAATTAGTTATCACATTTAAGAGATGAATTAGAAGCTTACAGATTAAAATCATAAGAATTCATCTGCCATAGAAATGTAGAGTTGGAGACCCCTAGTGTCCTCATTACAATCACACAGCATGTTCAGAGAAGGGCTCTAAATGTATCCTGAACATAGGAGAAAACAACACTGGCATACAAACATCAGAATCTGTTCCACACCAAAGCTTTACACATAAAACAATTTGGGAATCCTCTTTGGAACAGGGGATAATGATGGGGGTATAGTTTTCAAAAAGAAAACCCCACAGTAATGACATCTTCCTATTAAAAGCACATAGCCTATTCTGGAAGGCAACTGCTCAGCTTTACCCCAAAGACTGCTACACAGGGCCCCTCTTGTCAACACCAACTCTTCTGTGTGTACATGTACACATGTGCCTATGTGTGTGCATGTGGAAGCCAGGTGTCAATGGTGGGTGTCTACCTCAATCACTCTCTGCCTCATTTTTTAGATAGAGCTTTTCACTGATGTGGAACTCAATCATTTGGTTAGACTAACTAGGTGGCAAGCCTGAAGCCTTCTCTTTCCAGTTCCCATTGCTTTTGTTACAGCCATATAAAAAAAATGTCCAACTTTGTAAGTGGTGATGGAAAACAGGTTCTCATTCGGGTATATTACAAGCTGAGACATCTCACCAGGTCGAATGTCAACTCTCTCTAGGGGACAATCACACTGTACCTTCTAATCCTTTAACAAAGGGTATTTTAAGGAACAAAATGCACGTAGTAAATACATTTTTTCCTTCAGGGTATTTCCTCATAGCAAGCTGTTGCATTTAACTATTTGTTAGTCATTTAATAATTAAACAAACAAAAAACAAACAAACAAAAAGAGTAGACATAACCTCAAAAGCATTCTTTTTCAAATGTCAAGACAGTCCAAAGAGTGGAAGAACAAAGCTTTTATTGAGTGTCACCAACAAGATATTTCCTAGAGGGATTTCAATAAAACGAAGATGAAAAAATAGTCTCAACAGAGCAACATCAAAAGCTTTTACAATCTAGAATAAATTGACTCTGAATAAACTACATGCAATTATGATGTATACATGAAATTGCATGCTCCCTTTCAATAGGCAAACAAAGTTAGCCTAGCCTAGACTCTAAAAACTTGAGATTAGATGGTATTAGACAGATGGCACTAGTGTGCCAATCATCCAATGCTCAATTTACCCATCACTGGACACAGTTTATTGTCACCTCATCTCCCTAGATACTACCTACCTATTTGTCATTTCATTAACTGCTTATATGCTTTTCTTCAAACTAACCTATTTCATGGTCCAAAACAATAAATCAAAACTAATGAAAGAAATGAAAAAAAAAACAACAACAACAGTAACACATGAAGGTTTTATTTTAAAATGCTGTCACTAAATGACCAAACAGACTTACCAAGAAAGGCAAGTTTAAACGGACATGTCAAATCCTGGCCTAGTCAGGGTGTCTAATAATACTCCGTGTCATCTGGCCTAGTCTGGCAAGT